GGATGTGGGAGTGGGCTGGGGTTGCAGGGTCTGGGTGGGAGTTATGGTGCAGGAGGGGGCTCAGGGTTGGGGTGCAGGGTCTGGGAGGGAGTTAGAGTGCGGAAGCGGGCTGGGGCTGGGAGTGCAGGGTCTGGGTGGGAGTTAGGGTGTGGGAGTGGGGTGGGGGTGCAGAGCCTGGGAGGGTGTTAGGGTGCAGGAACAGGCTGGGGATGGGGGGTCTGGCCAGGAGTTAGGGTATGGGAGGGGGCTCAGGGCTGCAGCAGGGGGTTGGGGTGCGGAGCACTTACCTGGGGCAGCTCCCATTTGGAGCGGGGGATGCAGGTGCGGGGAGCTCTCTCCACCCGCACCTCCTGCCTGCTCCCCTGAGGCTGCGGGTGAGCCTCCCTCCCTGCTCTCCTGCCCCCCACAGCTTCTACCCCCGCAACCCCCCTCCCGTGGAGCAGCCCCCCCGCACTCGGGCACTCGGGCGCTGGTGCTGAACTGCCCGAGTGCCCAGCCCTGGGGCCCTCCTGTTGTTGGGGGGTCCCGTGCCAGGGCACTGTGTGTTTTATGGTAAATCTGCCCCAGCTAGGACAGGATGCTACAGCACCATGAACTGTACTGAAAAACAGTGTAGAGTTGTGTTCCTTAAAACTGCACAGTAAGAAGATGCTCCATGGAGAAACTAGGTGCACAGCCAGGAGAAAAGTGGGAGGAGTCACAGCCAGATGTAGGCATGCAAATATAACTCACTGCTGAGTGGATGTTAACAGATCCCCCTCCATGCCTGATTTGTAGATGATATGAGTCTGTTACAGCCCCAGCTAGGGAGCTTTAGCTCAAGTTGTAGGTGCTCGTGCTTTTAGTTCTGGACATCTCTGGTTCAATGCCCCGTGTGTTGGCCAAGATGACAGCCATCCCCCAATCATCCTGAGCCAAACCCAATGCAGAATCCTCCTAAGAACTCAAGTCATCGAGCAGATCCTCATGACGAATGCACAACCATTTCATGTCACGTGCTTAACCAGCTCTATAGGAACTCACTGCTATCATGCTATGTACACCTGTTGAATATGATCAAACAGACCAAAATCAGATAAAAATAGATCAGTGAAGGAAACCAGTAGGACATGCTGCAAACTGCAGTGAAGTGCTGAAGCTGTTGCCTTCAAAAGCAGTCGTCAGCATTCAGGGAGTGATAAATAATGAAGAGTGCAGTCACTGACGCAGAACAATCTGGATCTCTTGGTAAGCTGGGTGCAAGAAAATAATATGTTCCTAAATCTGGCTAAATGTAAATGTGTACATCTAGGAACAAAGGATCTAGGCCAGTGATACTCAGACCTCAGTGGTTCAAAAGCCAAATTAGCAATCACATTACCCAAAAGAGCCACAGTAGTGTGAATTCATTGTTTCATTTACAGCAAAATGACTAACCAAGTATTATTATTTTGTCAACTACAATTGGTTAACAACATAATAAAAGCCCCCTGATTGCTTAATAACTTAGATTGGTTAATAATTAACTCACACAGGGTTTTAATATCATGTGCTGCAAAGAGCTGCAGGAGCCGCATTAAAGAGCTACTTGCGACGACTCGCAAGCCTCAGTCTGAGTATCACCGATCTGGGCCATACTTACAAAATGGAGTCCACACTCCATTCTGGGTAGCAGCAGCTCTGAAAAAGGTCTGGGGGTTGTGGTGACTAATCAGCTGAACATGAGCTCCCAGTGTGATGCAGTGGCCAAAAGGGCTAATGCGATCCTTGGATGCATAAACAGGGGAATCTCAGGTAGGAGTAGAGAGGTTATTTTACCTCTGCATTTGGGACTGGTGTGATCACTGCTGGAATCCTGTGTCTAGTGCTTATAATGTTGACACCTGAAGGATGTTGATAAATTGGAGAGGGTTCAGAGAAGAACTGCGAGAATGATTAAAGTATTAGAAAAATTGCCTTTATAGGGATAGACTCAAGGAGTTCAATCCAATTAGCTTAACAAAGAAAAGGTTAAGGGATGACTGGATTATAGTATAAAGATACCTACATGGGGAACAAATATTTATTAATGGGCTCTTCAATCTAGCAGACAAAGGTATAACAAGATCCAGTAGCTGGAAGTTGAAGCTGGACCAATTGATTGGAAACAATATGTAAATTTTTAACAGAGAGACTAATTAACCTTTGTAGCAACTTACCCAGGGTTGGGGTGGATTCTCCATCACTGACAATCTTTTATACAAGAGGTCAGTCTAGATCAGTGGTTTTCAACCTGTGGTCCGCAGACCACTGGGGGTCCACAGGTATGCCTAAGATTTTCAAAGGGGTCGGCACCTGCATTCAAAATATTTGGGGGCCCACAAATGAAGAAAGGTTGAAAACCACTGGTCCAGATGATCACAATGATCCCTTCTGACCTTGGAAGCTATGACTGTCTATGGGCCAGGTTACATAAGGCTCTGCCATGGGGGAATGAAACTCCTAATACCATGCAAGTACACAGATCCATTATGAATCTACAAGAGTAGAACAACAAGTAAGAAGCAGCTGATCCCAGAGTTTCCTAGATGACTCTGTGCTGAGTAGGCTACCTCTTTTTGGTCTGTTACTTACATGTACTCCACTCTAGATACGCAGCCGCTGACCCTTTTTGCCTGTTTGGATATCGCTTTGTAGTTTTTCAAGTCACAGCCCTTGATGACTGTGACAGGTTCAGTTTTCTGCACATCCAAGGGCGTGATTTCATTTTGATCTCTATTTGTTTCTTGCCACGTGTTTCTAAATAGTTTTGACTATTACACTTATTTCTCCCCAGCCTGTTTGTGCAAGCAAATGAGATAGATTGCCCCTCCTTCCTTTGTACCCTGACAAAAGATACTTGTGAAATGGATCAAACAATGTGTATAAAAACTCAGCAGCTTAAATATAATCCTTGATTAGCAAAGAAAGCAGTGATATGAAGATCTCATAGGCTGACTTGCTAGGTTAGTAGATAACCTTTGGGTGAAATACACCATTTAAAATGAGAAAAGAATGACCTGACTAAATGGGAGTGTTTTTACATTGGTTAGAGGACAAGTTTTGTCTGTTTCACTAGCAGCTTTCCAGCTCATTGTTTCAAAGAAACGTCCGTGTTTCTGGATGAGATTCCCTCAAAGACAAAAGTGAAATATTTGTGTCCTTCCTGTATAGCACCTTTTGTTACAAGAGTTCAGCTTTGATATACTTTTCTGGTTTGCATAGTCTGCTGTTTCAGGACAAGTATGGATACTTTATCAGTCAAGCTAGAGAGAGGTTCTGGAGCTGCTGGCTTTAAAAGTCATTGGATTCTCTCATATGACTCTCCCACTTTAGCTGTATGACTAATCACCAGTCAGACTTTACTAATTCAGTTACAATACTTTAGGGCCTGACCCTGCAATATGTTGAGTGCCCTCAACTCAAGCTCTCAGCACACTACAGGATTAAGAGGTTTTTTACATACTTAGGTAAACCATGTGCCTTTAGTAATCTTAGATCTGGATACCATGAGCCTGATTTCAGGAGGTGCTGAGTTCCCATAACTTTTCTTGGTCTAAGGGTATGTCTATACTTACCTCCGGGTCCGGCGGTAAGCAATCGATCTTCTGGGATCGATCCCGGAAGTGCTCGCCGTCGACGCCGGTACTCCTGCTCCGCGAGAGGAGTACGCGGAGTCGACGGGGGAGCCTGCCTGCCGCGTGTGGACCCGCAGTAAGTTCGAACTAAGGGTACGTCTACACTTACATCCGGGTCCGGATGTAAGCAATCGATGTTCTGAGTTCGATTTATCGCGTCTGGTTAAGACGCGATAAATCGATCCCGGATCGATCCCGGAAGTGCCCCGGATCGATCCCGGAAGTGCTCGCCGTCGACGCTGGTACTCCAGCTCGGCGAGCGGAGTA